TGTCACAAAAGATTGAGTTATTGTGACAAATATAACTTTGTCACAATTAATGGCATTTTAACGACAAAAATTGTTGTCGCTACAAACAACATTTTAGTGACAAATGATGCATTGTCGCAAAAGATTGAGTTATTGTGAAAAATATAGCTTTGTCACAATTGATGGCATTTTAACGACAAAAATTGTTGTTACTACAAACAAGCTTCTAGCGACAAATGATGCATTGTCGCAAAAGATTGATTTATTATGACAAATATAGCTTTGTCATAATTGATGGCACTTTAATGAAAAAAATTGTTGTCCATACAAACAACCTGTTAGTGACAAATGATGCATTGTCGCAAAAGATTGAGTTATTGTGACAAAACTCACTTTGTCACAATTAATAGACTTTTAGTGACAATAAGTGACAACATATTGTCACTAATTATTTTCATTTAGCGACGATAAATTTTTGTCCCAAAAAACTACACTCTAGTGACAAAAATTATCTTTGTCATCATTAATAGATTTTTAGTGACAAATTTTTTGTCGCCAATTTCTATCTTTTATCGACAAAGGTTATTTCGTCACAAAAGAGTAAATTTTTGTCACAAATTGGCCTTCTGCCACCATATACTTGTTTGGGAAATAATAAAAAAAAATTAAAACTTATCATAAGGTATGTTTTTAATATATAAAAGTCTGTGTATATATATAAATATATGGTAAAGTGCAAAAAACTCCCTGAATTATGTTTGAATTTGCAAATAACCCCCTTGAATTATATTTTGTGTCTAATACCACCTATTGCCAAAAATGCCTCAATGTTCTAATAATAAGTTAATCATTTTATAAAATGGTAGTTATTATTATTTTTTTAATGATAAATTAATTCTAATAATAAAGCTAAGGGGTTATTTGTATAATTCATATTTAAATTTAAATAAGAGAATATATATATAAAAGATTTATTAATTGGGAATAATTATTTTTATTTTATTTTAAAAATCATTTGTTTTATTTAATTGAGTACTTAAATTAATTATCTTATTTTAATTAGATTATATTTCTTTAGTATATTTGTTGAATTGATATGGTATTTTACTTTGTGGAATGCTATGATTAAATTGTCTATTTGATTTGTGTGTATTTATGTTTGCGTGAATTGTTTGTTAATTATTTGTAATTATTTTATTTTATTTTATTATTTTATTTTAATTGGATTGGGCTTGAGAGAAGTGTGACCAATGGATGTGGTCTTGGACTTGAAGGAAGCCTTGTTGGGTTAATTAATAAGTGTCCATGGTTATAAAGATATTTAAATAATTATCTTTGCATAATTTTATATATATATATATATATATATATATATAAATTATATGTATATAAATAGAATTAATTAATAATTATTATGAAAGAAAATATATATACATATATATATTGATATATATATATATGTGTGTATATAATTTAATTAGTTACGGATTATCATGAAAAGAAATATACATACATATTATATAATATATGTGTATATATATTATTTAAAATAATTATTATTTCTTTTATTTGGTAGTCCTAGTAGGAGCAGGATTTGGATTTTAATGTGTATAAATATACACATAAGGCTTTAGGGTTCAAAGTTTACACGAATAAGAGAGGTAAAGAAAGAAGAAGAGAAAGTTGACAAGGAGGAGGTCGGATTTGAGAAAGATGACGTCAGAATTGGAAGAGACGATCAAAGCTTGAAGCATTGGTTTCGTTTCGAAACCTTCAAGCAAGTTATTTTCTTACTCTACTCTTAGAACTTATCAGAATTTCACTTTGAGTATCAGTGTTTAGATTAAATTTTTTTGATTAAATCAGAATTAAATCAGAGTATTAAAAACAAGTTTTATTATTATTTTTATTTTTGAAATTGTTGAATTTTGATTATATATATAGGTTGTATATATTTAAAATCAACTATATGCTTGATCTATAACCTAAGAGGGTTATTTAGGGTTTATAGAATTTTTGGGATTTTTTTGTAATTTTATAGAATTTTATGGTATTTTTTTATATTTTTAAGAATTTATTATATTTTATTTTCCTATAATTGTTGAAAAATTATATATAAATATATACTATTTATATAGTATTATATATAAATATACACACACTAGCGTCTATGAAATTTGCGCCTCAATAGGGAATTGATCCAATGCGGCACGACATAGGTAATAGTGTATACACGCAGATCTTGAGCTTTGGATGGTGATGATGTGGGATGGATGATTCAGTGTGGTGCGATGTATGGGATTTTGGTGTTCATGGTCATCTGGACTATAGAAGTGGTCTGGTCAATGAGAAATTGATTTGGTGTAGCTCAGACCATGGAGAACGGTGCACACTCAGATCTTGACCGTTGACTTGTTCTGGTTAACAAATAAATTATTCGGTGTGATCGTGCTCATACTAGCGATTGAGCTCAACATATTATTTTTGACTGCTTTGTTACTTAAAATTTAAACAGTCATAACTCAGTCATCTTAAATCGAAATTGGGTCATTCTTAACCTCAAATTTAAGGATTTTTTGTCCTCTTTCCAATAGTATAAATTTCATTCTCAGATTTTCATCATCTTAAGAGATATTTACATTTTAGTGAGATGATGTTGGAAAATTATTTAAACTGATATAGAGTATTTATGGGAAACCATTTATGACGATATTTAGTAGCATTTAATTTGCGTAAATATCATTAATTAATAGTTTGGTGATGGAAGGAATTATATATATACTTAATTATATATGTGTATATATGATTTAATTAATTTATGTTTAGGATGGAAGGAAATATATGTGTGTTTATATATATATATATATATATATATATATATATATATATATTCATTAATATATATGTATATATGATTTTAAATAATCAAGAATTATTACTGAATGTATTATACATATATATATTGTATAATATATGGGTATATGTATATATCATTTAAGATAATTAAATTATTATTCTTATTTGATATATATTATATTAGACTGGTTATTAAATTAATCTTATGCATATAATATGCATGAAATGGTTATGTGTGAATTAATTTATTATTAAGTTTAAAGTTGATACATAGTTGAATTATAGGCATGGATGAGTTGTTATAAGTATAAATATATTGCCTAAGTATTTGTATGAATAAAGTACATAGGAAGCATTGCTGAGTTGTTAATTTAAAAGTATAAATATATATACTTAAAGGCACTACAACAAATTTGTTACTTCTAAAATGTAGGATAAACTTATTTCTATGTAATTCATTTAGTATAATTTTTTTCTTACTATAGAAATTCATATTTTCAGTTTACTAGATCATTCCAATCGAATGATTTACGGTTGCCAATATGTCTCAAGGAGACAAAAATGTATCATTATAAGGATATCAAGATTCAGTCTTCAATTCATATTTTGTCACCAATCCTACCTAATTCACATCTTTATTGGTTCTTATAATAATAATAATTATTATTATTATTATTTTTGTTGTAGTTGTTGTTGTTGTTGACCCTTTTAAAATTTAACTCTTTATTACTCAAAATTTAAGGGATAGCAAACATTCTCTAAATTTTTTCTAAAAAGGTTGTCGAAAGTTTTGCTATATTATTTATCAACAACTAATCTTATAATTTTAGGACCCTACCCTTCTTTGTATATAGCTTTCCTTCTCTAATTTATAGTCATGCCTAATGCATGCTTATTATATTATGACTAAATATTCCGCATACCCTTATTAAATTATATAAACTCTTATTGAATTAGTTAAACGTTTAGACTCAAACATTCATAATTTCATAATGCAATACTATTGAGTAATGAAAACTTAAAAAGGGGGAAAAATTTATTATATCAATTCTTGAATAAATTTATGAGATAAAATTTTACTTCTATTTATGGGTATAAATGGAAGATTTAGTGATTTGGGACTTAAATGGAAAAAATATCTATCAAAAGTAGGACTTATTGGTCATGGAAATTTTTTAGGACATATTTGTCTTTCAATGAGAGAAATAGGACTTGGTAGTAAATTTCTCTTTAATTACTAATAATTTCATGATTTTAATTAGTACAGATATAAATCCATTATTGTATTTGTCAAATGGGTTCCTCTGAGTTGTAATAGAGGTACAGGGGCACAATTATATAAATTTTTTTAAAAAAAGATAGCGAATAAAACTTAATTTGGTGTTACCAGGAGAAGACTTAAGAAAGCTACTCTGTTAGATACAATTCAACATGCCCAAGTTTGTAAATAAAAAGTAACATAATAATTCCATCTTTATTTATTTGAGTCAATTCTATTGATAATGAATGAAATTTACACTCATTGGAAAGGGAAATGGCAAAATGACTTGCACACACCATTCACATACCCACTTTGCTTATTTGGAGACTTGAACTCCCACTATTCACTTTGGAAGATACAGAAGATACCACTAGACCACAAGCCCCTTAATGTACTATAAGACTATTATGCTACGTTTGGTGTATATGAATGGAATGGAATGCAATGCAAGTGGGAATAAAATGAGAATGGGAAAGGAATGGAATGACCATACTCATTTAACACTACAAGAATTAAGGGTATTGGTGACAGTCCTTTAGGGACAATAGAAAAACTATCCCTAAAGACACCCCTCTTGGGGACAGTCCTAATTGTTTCGTCCCTAAAAGACCCCTTTTGGGGACATTCTTAACCTTTCTGTCCCTAAAAGACCAAAAAAAGCCCGCTCCAATTTTGTGGCGGCAAAATTTAGCGTCATATTTCTTTTGAGACAGTAAACTTATTGTCCTTAATTACCTACTTAGTGAGAGACTTTTAGAGACAGTACAAAAAACTGTCTCTAAAGACACTTGTTTTGGGCGGTTTTCAGGCCCAAACAATTTTCATGCAGCTAGTGGGAAACTTAGCGCTAGATAAATGAATTTTTTGACCTTAAAAAATGACATAGTTTTTGTCTATAGGTTTATATATCCTTGCCCACGCAGAACCCTCTGCATAACTCTGCGCTCTTTCTCTCATCCAAGCCCTAGCGCTCTCTCTCTGCTCTCTCTCTCTCGCGTCCAAGCCCTATCTTTCTCTTTCTGCTCTGTCTCTCGCGTCGAAGCCTTATCTTTCTTTCTCGATCTGCTCTCTCTCTCTCTAGATGAAGAAGATGCCGACAAGATGATGTTGTAGCTTTGATATCGCCTCCCTATTCGGGTTCTCTCTCTGGTTCGCCTCTCTATTCGAGTTCTCCCTTTGGTTTGCCTCTCTATTCGAGTTCTCCCTCTGGTTTGGACACGACAAACAACCATTTGGAGCGCAATATCCTCAATTTGGAGCAAAAAAACAAGGTTTTATTTATTTATTTATTTATTTTGGATCTTTCTGTAGTTTTTTTTATACAAATATTAATAACTTTTGAAATCTATTTGTTGTTTAATATATTGATGCATCTTGAACTTACCAGATCCTCTACCAAATCTAAGTTTTTTTCATCAAATATTTCAGACCATCAAAAAGGGCAAAGGCACATGTTAGTTACTCAGCCTGTAATTGCACTTTTTAACACAACTCTGTTCCTTTCTATTCATTGACATTGTAGCTTCAATCTGCGGCTTAAACCCCAAAAGTACTCTCAATACTCTTCTCTAATCTAAACATCATATTATTACTAAAATTTTACATTTTTCTTGCTAAACCCATCTTTCAATGTATCCCATTTCCCAGATCTGTAAATTAGGGTTGTATATATATATATGTATATATATATATAAATATATATACGTATATTGTGTTGAATGTTTCAAGTTTTGTGCTTTAATTTTTCGATTATTGATTTGAATCTAAGACTCATGGGTTCCGTTATTTCATTCTGAACTACGTAATTTTTATTTAGGAACGTCATGTTTTCGGCAAAGATTTGAACTTTATAATGCATTATTATTTGTTATTGTGTGCTTTTCGTCATCTTCTTAGCAAAGATTTGAACTTCAAAATGTATTATTGTTTCAGTAGTTGTTAGTGTGTGTGTGTGTGTGTGTGTATTTTTTTGGGGTTTCATCTGAATAGTGACAACTCAATAGTGAAAAATATAAATTTGAATATACCTTCAACTGGTCTCAAATCACTATATATGATCCCGATTATACATACTTGCACTTTGGCACTGCATAAACTGATACTTAGAATAACAGTTCATCTCATTTTTTTCTTCCTTATTATGTTAAATTGGTACTTTACTGATAGCTACCTAAACCATCTACTGATAAACTATAGATCCACAATTAATTTCTAATGTAACACATTATTTGTATGGTTGTATTGTATCTTAATTTTAATTATTTATTTATTTTTTAATTCAGGGCGGATGAGGAACCTATTGATACAAAGAAGCATCTTGAAGAGTCTTGCAAGCCGAAGTGTGTGAGACCTTCACTCGACTATAAGGTGCTTTTCGATTAACTATCAACTAAAATTTCTATTGCATTTCCAAAAGTTCACAAATATATATATATATATATATATATATATATTCCTGCTTACAATGTTTGTAGTTCCTTGTCAAAAAATATGTTCTCAGTTCTCTTATGTGACGGAATCGGTTGTTGTCTATAGACTATAGTAGTAATTCTCTGAGGAATGTTATCACATATGTAGGAAGATTAGAGCATCCTATTTATATGCACAAAAAACATTAAAAAAAATAATTTATTCATTTTTTGCTATTAAAACATAAGGATCTGAAGTGGAAAAGGCACGCATTTCTGAAGCTAATTCCATGACTACTTAACTGGTCAAAACAAGAATAATTGGACCAATTTCACTGGTACTTATTTAGCTGCACCATTTTGTAAATTGGGGCAACAGCATTATCCATGTTATTAAGCAATATAATTACACAACTAAGAGTTTAGAACCAGTAAATCGTCTTCTCCGGAATCCACTCGGCATGAATATTTTCCAAGGAAATTTTAGGTAACATTTGATTCCATATTCAGAGTGCAATCTTCTTGAAATTCTAGGCTTCAAATGGAAAATAGAACAGAATCTACCTTCGAATCATTTATTTGAAGTACAATTTTTTTTTTTTTTTTTTTTTTTTTTTTGGTGCAATGAAAATTCTTTGAATTTTATGTATAAAAATTAATTCTCAATTACATAAAGACGAAGGTTTTAGCTCCAAATCTAATTGCCACTTAAAGGGAAAACAAAACAGATCATCCCATTCACATTTAAGTATTACATAATGCTAGAATGGCTAAGTAGTTAGCGTTATATACTATTGAGGTGGGCATACTATTATATACTATTATACCCAGAATGCTTTATTTTTTTTTTTAAAGAATATGATGGATCATGAATATTGGAGAGTTGCATTTCTTTTTCACTGTTAAAGACATTTTATAAATGTTTTGACTTCTTTTACAGGGCTTTTGTGTATGAAGTGCTTGGGTGTTAAGCTGTTGGAAAGAACTATTTCATCTCTACTTAGGTCCCTATGCCATATAAAAAAGGGTAAGTTCCTATATGTGATTAGTGTTGGATTCTCTAACCAAAAAAAATGTGGCATAATGAAATTTGATTCTTGAATCAAACTAATAGTGACACATTATGTAAATCCACAGAATTAAAGATTGCAAACTCTGTACATGAAGAATCAGCATCTTCACTCAATATTACCCATCTGCTGGTTGTACCATGCCCTTCAGATATCATAGAGGTACAATTATAGTCATCACTCATTTTCTAGTTGTAGTTGTCTTTAATTGTCTGCTAGTTTTTTTTTTTTTTTTTTTTTTTTTTTTATGCTTTTTAATGTGAAAACTTGTTTGGTTCTACGAATTCAACTTACTCAAAATTTACAACAAGCCAAAACTTCAGAATCCCTTCAATTTTTTGTTTAAAGAAAATTGTTCATCATTTTACTAAATGAATCAATAATGTAAATCCTTCAAATAATGTGTAAATGAGAATGAAAACAATACATAAAACCTTCAGCTTCTCTGTTTCACTATTCAATTGTAACATTATCAAGTATAGTAGGTAATATGGTTTTATTGAACTATAAAATTTATATAGCTAAAACAAAATCAAAAAATAAACAGCATGTTCTCAAACTTGTAAGAACGAACTCACCTTCTTTGAGACGGCCCTGGTTTTTCAAGCTAGTGCGTCCTGTGATGAACCGAAGATTAACCCGATTACGAATCCAGATGCGGAAGCAAAAGAAACAAGATAATGGTCTCTCATGGCATATCACACCTCTAAGACCCTAAGATGACCTTCTATGAGGTCACGGAACCCAAAGGAATAACCGAAAGCGAAAGTTAGAATGAAAAGGTCACTTGGTACCCTATGACACCGCTGACAACCAAAGGAGCAAGATTTAGTTCAAACTAGACCACATATGCCGTTACGTGGTCCAAACATGATTTACGAAGTTGAATATAAGTAAACCAATTGGTACAAGCCTGAAGAGACAGCAACCAAACAAAATCAACAAGGCAGCTCCATTTCGGTCGACCGAAATGGAGCATCTGTCTGCCGAACTAAGCCTGAAAAAAAAAGAAGAGAAAAGAGCTCTCAGTTCGGTCGACCGAAGTGACAAACCGGTCGACCGGTTTAAGGCTCGAGAATTAAAAAATGAGTTTCGGTCAATCGATGTAGAGAACCAGTCGACCGAAATAAGCCTCGATGGTGAAAATGGCTACTGGAGTTGGAATTTTTGCTAAACAATGAAATCCAAGAGAGGTTCGGTCGACTGAAACTGGTCAAAAACGTGAAAATGAACCTACTATGCACCAAAACTGAAAAAGAGACATTAAGCCTCACTTGAATCCCCTATTGCATGATCAAACTTAATTATATGCTAATGTGTGATGATGTGAACATGCACGCAAGTGCAAAATGGTATTCTAAGCATGCTACAATGGCCTATGGCCTTATTACAATTCATTTGCAAAATTTTACATGCCTAACCTCTAAGGTTGGAAAAAGTGCATTTCAAGGCAAAACTTGGAGTTTACATACATACACTTGAACGTTAAAGTTTGTGGCCCTTGGCCTCATGTCATATATATCAAATATATCGCAAAAGGTGTACTTATGTACACATTACATATTTAGAATCAAATGTACAAGTTTGTTATACAAAGTTACAAATAGGATTTCATGCCAACATTTTCATGAAAATAATACTTCAAGTATACGAAACTTCCATGGCGTAGTGTGCATCCCAAATCAAGGTCCCTATACCTGAAAAATGTCCCCACTATGTGGGTGAGTAACATAAAGCTACTCGTAGGAGATGAGCATGCATCGACTTAGCATTTTACAAAATTATCACTTTAAGGTGAAATATGTCAAAGGGGCTCATGCCACCTAACGTCTATGACAGAGTGAGACTCAGGGAGCAGCCTAAGCTACTCATGCAATTGAATTGAACCACAGCATACAAATATACATGCTCAAGTATGCAAGTCAATATTAAAACATGATATACGATATATAAGCATACATTTACAAGTATACTAAACCATATTAATAAGTTATGCAATGTCTAAGCATGCATATACCAATATACAATTAACATGGAAAACTCATGAATCAAGTATACAGGCACAAGTATATTAAGCTAAATGAAGTACACATAAGGCAAGAATACACGACACAAGCATACATAATGAAATCCGATTGCACAAATCAAACATGCAATGCTTAAGTATACTAATTAGGGTTTAGATATATAACCAAGGATACAAGTTCAAATATACTAAATGAGATCTAAATACATAAAACAAGTATACAGTTTCAAGTATACTAATTGAGATCTAAATACAAGAAGCAAGTATACAGTTTCAAGTATACTAAATAGGATTCAAATACCCAAAGTAAGCATTAATACTCAAGCTACAAGTAATCCATGATTAACAACTTGAAATTAAATGCGAAATCAAATAGTGGAAAGACTAGAATCCTTGGCTGCGGACCAATCGAGTTATTCCGGGTTACTAGCCTGCAAGGTACTACCCAATGCGCACGTGTATAAGTTATTCCGGATAATTACGACCCACAAGGTACTACTTACTGCGCACTTCAAATGACTTAGAAAACTCACGAATCCGTATTAGGGCCAGACCCTAGCCATCACATGAACATCATCCTTACAAGCCTCCAAAAACAATAAGTTCAAAACTTATGCAAAATCAATAAGTTAAACCAAACTTATACATTTCAAATAATGTCTAGGAATCAATTTACATGCACAAGTAAGGTTGAATCTACACAAACCATGTCCTAGAGTTCAAGTCTACAATGACATTCACAATATCGAATCTTCAGTGTGCGATTCGTTACACGCTACGACAATTTCATTTCAACATTAAAATGCAATCTCATCCAAACGATCCCTAATTCAATTATGTTAAACAACATAGTATGGTCACTACACAAACCAATTCAAAAACTAAATTGGTTCATTGAGACAACAACATAGAGTTTAATTGAAACATGGTAATTAAATCTCTAGATTTTCTAAAACAATCCCAAATGGCCCCAAAAGGATATATACAAGTGAACAAACCCAAGTCACTACCATTATCAAGTTAAAATTTAATCAAACTAGTGGAACCAATATTTAGATTTTAATTAACTCATTTAATTCAAAATCTCTAGATTTATAAACTTATCCAAATGCTCTCAATTTAACATAGGTTAGAGAATATGCCAAGGCCTATTTTAATATCATATTACAATTTGATTTCATGCTTGTTTCAACTATGTGAATTAAACTTTCATAAAAGATAAATATTAAATAAGTTTTGCAATTCTTATTCAAATGCTCCAAATTTAATATATGTTACACAACTCACCAAGGCCTAATTTACTAGCATGCCACAATTTAATTCTAAACTATATACCATTATTAGAATTAAATCATAAACAAAGAAAATAAATAAATTAAATTCTAAAAACTTGAACAAGGCATGCTCACAAGTTGTATATGCTTATAAAACAATTAATACAACAATAATATAAATCTAAGACATCCCCTACCTCAATTTGAGATGAAAATTTCAAAAGCCACCAAATTGGAACTGCTCTGAATTCGACGAAACTCCTAGGTTTTGTCGGGGACAACACGATCTACATGAACCCCCAAGAAGCCCCATCAAAATCACAACTTGGCTTCAAAACCGAACTCAAGAAATGGTCAGAAATGAATTCTAATAAGGAGGAAAAGGTAGAGCACGTCGAGGGAAACGATAAACGTTAAGGCCGAAGAGTTTTCATTAAGAAAATCAAGTGGAGGAGAAGAAAGAATGAAGGCAGCCCCTTGGGCTCCCATGGCTGCCGGCCAAGAGGGTGAAGAAGATGATGTAAATCTGACTTTTTGACTTAAGACCTCCTATTTATAGAAAATCTCAAAAAGTGCCTCGAAAGGTCCCGTCGGGTCCGGAAAAGTGGATTTTGAGTAGATGGGCTCAAACGGTGAAACTCTGTGAACGAAAAAGATTCAAAATGAGAAAATATAAATAACGGAAGAAACGACATCGAAAACTGAGTCCCGAGCAGGGAGATATGCCCCAAACAAGTTTGGCGGCAACCGGGTCCAGAAACCCTGAAACTGGAGAAAAATGATCAGAAGAAAATTCTATGAGTACACAACTCGACGAAATATGAAAATGAATCCCGTACAAGGATCTAGGCTCAAAACAAGGTATTTTGCAATAACTTTCGTTAATTGCACAATAGCCCCTATAAAAAGGGTTAACTGCAAAACTGTCCCTGAATGAAAATATCTTCTAAAAGATATTTTCTTAGATGCCCCTGAAATAAAATATCTTTAAAAGATATTTACGAAAAACATCCCAAGAAAAGAAAAAGATTCCAAAAAACTATACATCCATACCCCTATGAACACCGGGAGCAACCAAAGTACTTTTCTGCAAAAGTAAAAATACGTATTTCGTGGAAACCACTTAGAATGATGATACGTAAAGTCAAAAACTAACTTCGAACACAATGAGTGAGGTTATGCCAACAAAGTGACAAATGGGGAAAAGACAAAATAGGGAAAATGACAAAATAAGGAAAATGACAAAAAGTGAATAGTGTTGAAAAACGAAAAATATGAAAATGACTCGGTTCTCAAAGGAAGTTGTCAATCCAAAGAAAAGAGTCTCAAAAACCATTTCCAAGTACTCAAGATGACACTAAACGATGAAAAACTGAACTCAGAAAAGAAATTTCAACGAAAAAAATTCATCCGTAAAATCCTGAGGAAAAAGGAAAGGAAGAAAATGACCGGGTCATTACATTCTTGGTAGGTACATACTTTAATTCCAAAAGAAAACTGGAGGAAGCCAGCCACAACAGACACTGATTGACTATTCAATTGACAAATCATAAAATTAGAGGTTTTTTTCCTTTTTCATTTTTTTTTTCCTCTTTTTTTGGGGTCAACTCTAATTATAAAAACTATGCCCCATCCATGATAATAACAGACTATTCCATTGAATGATTTGGTGGATTCATGGTTTGAAATTTTAAATTCTAGTTTTATTCATAAATGTTAGTGACACTGATATAAAGTAAAAAATTGTAGAAATGTTAAGTAAATTGAGCTGGAAACTTGCAAGTTCAAAGATAATGACTAATAATTTAATTAATCAACAGATGACTTTGAAATTCTTAGTAAAATAATAAATGGGCTCTTCAATCAAGGCAATACAAGAAACTTAATCATAACAAGAACATACTTATTATCAGGCAAAAACAAATTTTAACTTATCAAAAAAAAAAAAAAAAATACATAGGAGTAGAAACAATTAAAGCACACTAGTTTTATGGTACATGCACTTGGCATACATTCACTAGCTAAATGACTTCATTCATATGAGATAAAGGCAAGGATATCAATAATTATGATGAGTTATGGTATATATTGGCTAAAAAAAAAAAAAAAAAAAAACCACTTTGCATAGAAACTAAAAATGAAAATGCAGAAAATAATGTGAAGAAAGAGGTAAGGATTTTCTATGAGGGTGTTTATTTGTAATGAATATACTTTTTATTTATTTACTATTTTTTTTTTTTTTTTTGATGGTTCCATGTTCCTACTTTTCTTCTTTGATTTAGTATTGATATTCATTATTTAATCACTAATAACTTTTATTTTTCCTTGTGCGTGTGTGTGTTTGTATCCTTGGACTTGCAGATCGCATTCTAAACAAAATGGGAGAAGGTTAGTTTTTCCTCTTCATTGAATTATCATTATTTTAGATCGTACTTTTTTTTTTTATCAGGTGTTATTACTTCTTACTTTGGATATATTCCATTCATCCTATCCCTACTTTTACTTTTTCCTTAAAAGAAAAAGGACAGCAGAGGGAAGGGGAGGGGCCTTATTAACTGTGAACATTCCTAATTTAATTTATGGCATGAAATAATTGCAGAGACTTTTGGGCAAGTCTTGGAGTGTTTGGACTACGATACGAAAGAACTCGTGGCAATTAAAATTGTACGTTCAATACTCAAGTATCATGAAGCTGCCATGATTGAAATTAATGTCCTACAGAAGCTTGCCAAGCATGATGTTGGTGGCACCCAGTAAGCATCTCCTTTTCCTTTTATTTTCCTTTACTGGTTGTAACGTTTAAAGTGATATTGGTATAAGTGGTATCATTCTTTGCAATTGTGTGCAAATACGGAATTGGTTTGACTATCATAATCATATTTGAATTGTAACTATTTATTAATACTTTTGCAATTTGATCGATTTTGACAGGCAATGATGTTCCTTCACACTTGAATATTCTGTGAGTTAAATAATTTTTTTCCCATGGGCAAAGTTAAAAATTTGAAGATATAAACAATAGAATACAATAGAAGCCAAGGCTAATGGACAAAACAACATAGACCACTTTAAAAAGAGACACCATGCCCCTAGAGCAAACCAAAACAAAGCAGCAAAGCAAAATACCAGCAACAAATGACCACAAGCATTGAAGAAGTAATACTAACAAACAATGCCTATAGACAATAAAGATAGCTAGCATCTACCTAGGAGGCACTAAACGACCGGCCCAAAGCACCAACAAAAGCAACTCCAGCAAATCAGCAATAGAAGCCCACAAAACAACTAGCATCTTTCCAAAAAGCACCATAAAAACTGCAGCAATGTAGAGTGAAGCCAACTGACAAGCAGGGCTACCTCTTGCTAGATCAAACCCAAATAAAAATTAACAAATAACAGAGCACAGAAGATCAAAGACACTGCATCATAATTACAACTACACCATCAAGCACATACCAATAACTATAATTCCCATCGTCTATCCCTGCTCCCATTTAAATTGCCCCACTGCCCAGTTTATTTAATTTTTTCAATAAGCTAACATTATATGTTGATGTGAATAATACTTACCAGTGTTAGAATTGAGGCAAAACCAACCTAAACAAAAATTACTAATCAAATCCCACCCAAGTACAAGTAGGGATGGCAAATTCCCCATCTCCGCCAGGGCCCCGCCCCATTTATAGCTGGGATGGGGAACCTTTTAGCTAAACGGGGATAGTGATGGGGACAAGTTTTGAATCCCCGCCGGGGCCGGGGCCCCCGCCCCGCCCCGCCCCGATTAGGTGTGAAATTATTAAGATACCCTTGCCCATGTTATTATATTTACCAAACTAGCCTATACTATATATATACCATCTATGTTGAAACCTTAAAACCTTGTCCTAATAACCCAAGTCGCCGCCTCCTCCTCTTTTTCTTCTCCTAAGATTCGATAACAATGTCGACTGTTCCCGTCCTTCCGAATCCGTCTCCGGCATCGGATCTTCCCCGTCCTTCTGAATCTGTCTCTGGCATCAGCTCTTCCCCGTCCTTCCGAATCTATCTCCGACATCGTCTCTACCCCCTCACAGGCATCGGTTGAAGAATTTTTTTTTTGGAAAGTGGTTGAAGAAATTCTTGTTCTACATGTCTTCTCTTCCCTTTCCATCACTAAGGACTTCACTATTATGAGGTGATTGTATGTGTGTGTGTGTGTGTGTGTGTATTATAGATCAAATCATTTTGTTTTTGATTGAACTGTGATTTTTAATTTTTTTTTATAATTGGAACTGAGATTTTTTTTTTTTTTTTTATTTACAATTGGATCTGAGATTTTTTTTTTTACAATTGGAACTGAGAATCTTTTTTGTGATTTTTTCTTTCATGTATATGTGTGAATTGAGAAGCAGCAAAACTTAATCGGGGGCGGGGGTGTTGGGGACGGGGGCGGGGAAGATGGTGGCGGGGCGGGGAGGGGATAGGGGTGGGATTGAAAGTTTTAACGGGTATGGGGGCGGGGACGGGGGTAAAAATTTTGGCTGGGGATGGGGATGGGAAATGTGGTTCCCGCCCCACCCCGCCCCATTGCCATCCCTAAGTACAAAACATCCAGTAATTTAAGATGTTGGAAAAACTTATTAGAGAACTTCATAATAAATCTTAATAATGCATATATATATATATAAATATTTATATATATATATATAACCTCAATTTCTACACCAGATTCATATTCTTTCAATCTAACCTCAATTTTATTATCAATTCATATTCTCACAATCTAACTCACAACATCAAAACTAAAAAGAAATACAAACTCACAATGAGTGATGAAGTTGAAGAACTCATCGAAGACCTTTGTTTGCCTGGTGCACTTCCGTGATGGTGTAGATTAGGGATGAAATTGTCTTGTACTTGTCAATGTTAAATTTTCATGATCAAAAAATTTACGAAGATTAAACTTAATATACCGAAAATAGTTGGAAGATTGAAACAAAATCAGATCTGATCTGATGAAATTGCAAAATAAAATTATGCAATTAAAACATCACAAATGTATCCTTATACACATGCATATACATATGTGAGACATGATATGCAGAGAGAATTTTGAATCTCTTACCTCTAGAACTTTGTAGTGCGACAGAAGGCTCATTCAAACCCTAGGTGAGACTGAGAGTGATAAAATAAAAAAATAAAATAAAAAGAATTGAATATAGTAGCAGATCATAATAGTGAGTGTTGACATCGGGTTAGTGGGCTTACGGCGCGGGAATTTTTTTTCCACAAGGTATAGGGAGGGAATGATATAAATTTAAACTCAATTTTGGCTCAACATTGACAATGCAACAAATTGGTCGTTATAATTATGTAGGTTTTTAAAAGAAAATTGAATATGCAATTAAGTGCAAGCCATGGATATAATATTTAATGGCTTGCTCAAAATAAGAGGTTTAAATTAGTACTTAATAAGGTTTACTTTTTATGCATGTCGTTAATTACAGGTCATAAAAACCCTTTTTTTTTTGTAGTGTATTATCACCAGGATATCAAGTTTTCTAAAATACTCTTTAAAAATTTATTTCAGTTTTCAAATTATATTCTCATTTTTTCTTATTCTTATTTATTTATTTATTTATTTATTTTGCAAGTTTCACATTGATTGCAATCTAACTTCCCTTTTGGATTCAAATTTATTTTGGGATTTTGATATGTGTATGCGATTAGCATCGTGTAATATTGGATTCAGATATTAGCATTTTGATATGTATTGGAATTATCATTTTAGATTTTGGATGATTTGCATATTTTAATATCTAAATTCTTAATGGAATATGTGTTTTATCTTCTATGTTTAATTATCAAATATATTGATTTTGAGTGATATGCTTAGATCTTAGTTTAGATTGTTTAGTTTATTAATATTTTAATTTAAGTTATAGGTTCTAAATTTCAAATAGGTGAAAACAAAATTATATTATTGTATTAGTTGCACGATATATTATTTTGTCACAATATTTAGCTTATAGTGACAACATATCTATCACAACGTGATAGATATATTGTGACAAAAGATATTTTGTCGCAATAAAACAACTTTTATAGTGACAAAATATTATCGCAACATGGTATATATATTGCGACAAATGTATTGATTCATTTTGTCACAATATTTAACCTTATAGTGACAATATATTTGTCGCAATGTAATATATATATGGCGACAAATGATTTTGTCACAATATAATATATATATATATATATATATATATATATATATATATTGTGACAAATGATTTTGTCACAATAAAATAACTTATAGCGACAACTAATTTGTCGCAACATGGCCCATATATTGCGACAAAATTTTTGTCACAATAAAAATAGCGCATATCGACAATAATTTTGTCGCAACATGTTATATATATTGTGACCAAAATTTTTGTTACAATAAAGCAGCTTATTGTGACGGCCTTGGTTTTTCAAGTCCAGTGCGTCCTGTGATGAACCGAAGATTGACCCGATAACGGATTCGAATACCGAAACGAAAACAGAAAATAAGATTCTAAGAAGTCAAAGTGACCTTCCATGAAGTCGTGGAACTCAATGAGAATTGTTGTGGAAGTAAAAGATCAGAAAATAACAATTAAGCCCCTAGGGGCAAAATAGCCATTTTACATGAAAATGGCGTCCCTAGAATGTATATCATTCCCGAAACACATCCATGACTTCCCATGAAATCACGGAACTCAAAAGAAAGTAGCAGAAGCGGAAAGTAAGAAAAAACTGGGCAAAAATAACACCAAAGGCAAAATATGACCTTTCAACGGCCGAAAGTGCCTTAAAATACAATAAATGAAACAAAAATGCAAAACCTATAACAAAATGGTATTTGGCCCTTGGCCACACCTCATACATGATCATAGAGACCCTATGAAAGAAAAAGAATGGAATTCCCACACCTGATGCAAACATGGTGAAGGAAGGACTTAACATTTTCCATTATTTTCATAATAAACCTTGAAAACGAAAGTGCATAGAATACATATTTGATGTCATTGCCCTATGGCCTCTACTCATACATGTCAAATATGTTGAAAAGAGTGTACTTATGTACACTTTACATATATGGAATCAAAGATACAAGTTTTGATATACAAGGCTACAAAATGACATTTTATGCTAACATTTGCATGAGATGGAAATTTAAAAACTACAAGTCATCCAAGGAATGATGAGCATCACGAACCAAGCCTTTGTACCTGAAAAAAATCCCCAGTAACTTCGGGGTGAGTAACATAAAGCTACTCGTAGGAAATGAGCATGCATAGACCTAACATTTTACAATAATATTACCTTAAGGTAAAACAGGTTAAAGTGGCTCATGCCACCTAACGTCTATGTCAAAATGAGACTCAGGTAGCATCCTAAGCTACCTTAGAGCATTTCTAGCATAAACTACAATATTTATGCAATTAAACGATATAGAAGCATGCTATACAACGCAACAAGACATAGATTCTCAAAGTTATCAACTTGAAATCTAGAATACGAAAACAACAAAAGTGGGTCATGCAACCTAACGTCTATATTCTAAATGAATCTATAGGATCATTCCTCAGCCACATTAGAACAATATAACACAAATCGCAATATCGATGCAATTTAACCAACATTGGAACTTCTAATACAACACATAAAGCATGATTTCTCAAGGTTAATATCTTGAAACTCAAAATGGGAAATCAATTAAGGAACAACAAGTTACGATATCATCTACTTATCAAATTGAAATGAAATGTGAAATTAAGCAAAGTGGATACTTAGACATCATGCCAGATCAGACCGACACCATAGTTACTTTAGGGTTACTAGCCCATGGGCAACATCTCTATGTGCGCACTAGACTATAGACGAACAATCCCCCGTACTAGAACCATGTCCTAGCCTTAGCCAAACAACGACATCCCCAAATTCCAAAATCATCAAGTTATGCAACAACGTATATAACGACATGTATATACAAGATAATCAATTATCTACTACGCAAAACCAAATTTGGAAACACATACAATACATGCTCTAAATCCACAACTACTATGGCATGACAAATGTCGAATCTTCAGTGTGCGATTTGTTACACGCTATAACAATGTTACTCAATATTGAAAACGTAAACTCATTAATCTAAATATAACAACAATGTTATCCAATGCTCAAAATGTAACCAAGTGAATGTACAAGTCCAAGCCCATGATTTAAACATAAAAACAACTTTCAAAACACGATTAAATCCATAGAGCAATTATATATAATTTAATTGAATAAAATAATAAAATTCTTTAGATTTCAAAATAATTACAAATGGCTTCAATTTAATACATACCAAAGATAATATTCAGGTCATTACAATTATCATATCAATACTTTAATTAAAGTCATGAATAGTAAAACAGAAATTAATTAAATAAAAATAATAAATTTCTTGATTTCAATATTCATCCAAATATTCCCAATTTAATATATTAAAGAACATATCAAGTTCATCACTAATATCAAGTCAAGGTCTAACTAAATATCAAGTCCTTAATTAATTCTACACAATATACAATTATGTGAATTAAATTTTTAACTAATGCCTAATTAAATTAAATCCTAGATTTTATGCATAAACATAGTATAAGCATCAAAAATAATAAATCACATACTACATAAACCTATAATCATCTCCTACCTTAATTGGAATGAAAATCCCAATTACCACCGAAATGAAATCACCCCAAATTTTTGGTCCGCGAGACAGATTTTTCAACTTGTTAACTTCAACTTGAAAAATTCATAAAAAAATTCAATTTTAATCCAAATTGTATGAATTCAAAGCCCAATGAAAGCTTAAATACTGTAATTTGATAATATCAATTTAGTTTGACAAAATATTATCCTAATTAAAACAGTTTTGACCCCACAACTTCGAAACAAATTATGTCCAGAAAACACAATTTCAGCCTGTAGCTTCCAAATTTGAAAATTCACGAAAAAATCATTTGACATCCAAATTGGGCAAACTTAATTTATTTTGGAAGTAAACATATGAGAGTGTAAAACTGAAAATTTAAGCCAT